TCATTCTATTCTTTTCTATTCTATTCTATAAAGCAGCATAGATTTGGATAATCCGCTTTGTTATCTTTCATTTCGGATTCGTCGAAATTCGTTACTATTGTGATTCGGAATTCGGAATGAACATTTCGTCTGAATTTTGATTTGTAACGAAATCTATGGCAAGGGTGTACTATGTGCAATGTGTTGTAGTATCTGTTCCTCCAGGTCGCCCTCACAGGGGTGCAATCCAGCAACAAGCAGGGCTTTTCTTCAGCGTTCCGGCACCTCCAGCACTGAATGTATGTAATGACAAGGGGTGCTGGAGGGTCTATTGATGCTGGCTGCCGGGGGATCTATTATCATTGGTGGGAATCTATTTTTGTATGGGGGTCTATTGTTGCTGTGGAGGTCTATTGTTGCTGGTGGGGGATCTATTGTTACTGGGTGGGGGTCTTATCCTGCTGAGGGGTGTCAATTGTTGCTGGGAGGGATCTAATGTTGAGGGAGGGGTGTATTGTTGCTTGCTGCTGGAGGATCTTTTGATGCTGGATGCTAAGATTCTAGTGTTGCTCGGGTGGTATTTTTATTGAGGGGGGTCCATTGTTGCTGGGGGAGGGTCTATTATTGTGTGAGGGATCTATTTTTGCTGGGGGTCTATTGTTACTGTGGGGTCTTTTGTTGCCCAGTGGTCTATTGTTCCTGGGGGGTCTATTGTTGCTGTGGGGACCTTTTGTTGCGCAGGGGTCTATTGCTCCTGGGGGGAGGTCTATTGTTACTGTGGGGATCTTTTGTTGCCCATTGATCTATTGTTCCTGGGGGGATCTATTTTTACTGTGGGGTTTATTTTGTTGCCCGGTGGTCTATTGTTCCTGGGGGGTCTATTGTTACTCTGGGGGCCTTTTGTTGCTTGGTGGTCTATTGTTCTTGGGGGTCTATTGTTACTGTTGGGGTCTTTTGTTGCCCAGAGGTCTATTGTTCCTGGAGGGTCTATTGTTGATGTGGGGGCCTTTTGTTGCTCAGTGGTCTATTGTTCCTGGGGGTCTATGTTACTGTGGGGGTCTTTTGTTGCCCACAGGTCTATTGTTTCTGGAGGGTCTAATGTTGCTGTGGGGACCTTTTGTTTCCCAGTGGTCTATTGTTCCTGGGGGACCTATCGTTGCTGGGGGGTTGTTGCACCGTGGTCTATTGTTCCTGGGGGATCTATTGTTGCTGGGGGGTTGTATCCCAGTGGTCTATTGTTCCTGGGGGATCTATCGTTGCTGGGGGTTGCTTGTTGCCCAGTGGGATCTATTGTTGCTGGGGTCTTTTCTTGCCCTGTTGTCTATTGTTATGGGGGGTCTATTGTTGCTGTGGGGGCCTTTTGTTGCCCAGTGGTCTATTGTTCCTGGGGGAGATATTGTTACTGTGGAGGCATTTTGTTGCCCAGTGGTCTATAGTTCCTAGGGGGTCTATTGTTGCTGTGGGGGCCTTTTGTTGCCCAGCGGTCTATTGTTCCTGGGGGTCTATTGTTGCTATGGGGGCCTTTTGTTGCCCAGTGGTCTATTGTTCCTGGCGGAGGGGTCTATTGTTACTGTGAGGGTCGGTTGTTGCTCAGTGGTCTATTGTTCCTGGCGGAGGGAACTATTGTTACTGTGGGGGTTGTGTGTTTGCCCAGTGGTCTATTGTCCCTGGGGGGATCTATTGTTGCTGTGGGGGCCTTTTGTTGCCCAGTGGTCTATTGTTCCTGAGAGACCTATTGTTGCTGGGGGGGTGTTGCCCAGTGGTCTGTTGTTTCTCGGGGATCTATTGTTGCTGGAGGTCTTTTGTTGCCCAGTGGTCTAATGTTCCTGGCAGGGGGGTTTTGTTACTGTGGGGGTCATTTGTTGCCCAATGGTCTATTGTTCCTGGGGGACCTATTGTTGCTGGGGGACTTTGTTGCCCAGTGGTCTATTGTTCCTGGCTGGGGGTTGTTACTGTGGGGGCCTTTTGTTGCCCAGTGGTCTATTGTTCCTGGGGGATCTATTGTTGCTGTGGGTTAAAAATTCCATGCAAATTACTTAGCACCACAAAATGATACTGGGTTCTGTATTCTCTAAAAGGGGTGGGACTGGGAGGTGGTTAGGGGGAGGAACCAAGGGAGGGTGCTCGGAGGTGGGCGGAGACACCTATTCTCTGAGGAAAAAATGCCATGGGAATAAGTCATTGCGGAATTGCCAATAGGAAGTGAGAGCCCATGGCGTGTATCAGCAACAAGAACTTTATTTTATTGCCGTCATACAATGCCTATGGCCATGTGAGGTCAGAAGAAGGGAGGACCATACCATTGTTCCTGTCCTTGTCGGGGGGGATTTTCTTCAGTTCCCGTCTCGGTGACACAGCAGGAGGAGATACCTAAGGATTTCTGTATATAAGAGACAGCGGTGGTTGTGTTTGGGGATTCTATCCTCTACCACAATTCAAGAATCCCAGATCATCAGATGACCAATGAAAGATGGTTGTAATGGTCGGATGGTGGTGATGGCCGGTTGGTGGTGAAGGCCGGATGGTAGTGAAGGCCGGATGGTGGTGAAGGCCGGGTGGTGGTGATGGTCGGATGGTGGTGAAGGCTGGGTGGTGGTGATGGTCAGATGGTGGTGTAGGCCGGGTGGAGGTGAAGGCCGGATGGTGAGGAAGACCGGGTGGTGGTGAAGGCCGGGTGGTGGTGATGGTCAGATGGTGGTGAAGGCTGGGTGGTGGTGATGGCTGGGTGGTGGTGAAGGCTGGATGGTGATGATGGCCGGGTGGTGGTGAAGGCTGGATGGTGGTGAAGGCCAGATGGTGGTGATGGCCGGATGGTGGTGAAGGCCGGGTGGTGGTGAAGGCCGGGTGGTGGTGAAAGCCGGGTGGTGGTGAAGGGCGGGTGGTGGTGATGGTGGTCGGATGTTGGTGAAGGCCGGGTGGTGGTGAAGGGCGGGTGGTTGTGATGGCCGGGTGGTGTTGATGGCCTGGTTTGGGGGACTAGTGCTCCACATCACTCCAAAATCTCTCATCTAGGTGGACTGACCATTTCAAACAGCCCTCATCCTAATGATGAAGGCTCCTCCATCAGGGTGGCTTGACCTATAAACCACCGCAATAACTCTTCAGCTGTCCCTCTTGGCGTGGTGGTGCTTCTTCTGGTGGACAGTCAACGCCCCTTTCTGCGTAAAGCATCTGCTACAATCTAGACAGGAATACGGCCTCTCGCCGGTGTGAACTCTCAGATGATTATCACGGATCATTTTGGTGGAGAAGCATTTGCGGCACTCTGAACAGGAAAAGGGCTTCTCGCTGGTGTGGACCCTGTAGTGTCTTTTGAGTTGGGACGTTCGGGCAAAAGATCTCCCGCACTCGGAACAAGGGAAGGGCTTCTCCCGGTGTGGGTTCTCTGGTGATAAACGAGTTCTTGTTTCGTCATGAAGGAATTCTCGCACTTGGAACAGGAGAAGGGCTTCTGCTCATAGTGGACTTTCTGGTCTGGTGAGCGGTGAGTTGAGACCTGAGGCCGAAAGACGCTTCGCACTTAAAGCAGGTGTAGGGCTTTTCTCCAGCGTGAAGTTTCTTGTGCGCAACCAGGCCGCAGTAGGTGATGTATAATTTTTCGCAGTCTGGGCAAGGATAGATCTTCTTGCCAGAGTGACTCATTTGATGTATGTGGAGCGCTCTTTTTATTTTGAAACCTTTCCCACATCCTGAACATGGAAACGGAAAGTCGACGTTTTGATTCTTCGCGTTGTGGACAAACTCTGATGGAATCAACTCATTGTCTCTCTTTGTGCATGCATCCGCATTATTAGATTTGTCTGGATTAGAAGGATCTGGTGATCTATCTGCACTGAGACACCTTTTCTGGACATTCGGAATAATAGTTTGTGATTTGGCATTGGATTCCTCCAAATTAAAGGAATCTGTTGATCTCTCCATATTAGCAAATCTGTGATGTATGTATTGGGTACCAAGGCTAACCTCTGAAGAATATTGTACCATGCCAGTGTCTTCTTCGTTACAATCCCGAGACAAAATAGAATGTCCCTCTAAGGAGTTCCACCTTCCACCTGTTGTAAAGATTTTTCTAAAAGCATGTTCATTATTCATTTTCTGCAGTCAGGAGTCACGTATGTTGGTCTATAAGTCAACAGTTCCCTAGAGTTCTGACAGCCAAAACACCAACACAAGAACAGAATTCATAGGTGTACAATACAACCAGAACAACTATGGAACCCTGGGTGAAGGTGTACATACAATGATGACATTGTTATTATGAGGAATAGAGATGGACCTTTTGCCACCTGATTTGTTGGGAATATAACATTGAGGAATGGAGATGGACCTTTCATATGGTGTTCAGTATCTCCTCCTCATTTGTTGGGAACATGACGTTATATTGAGGAATGGAGATGGACCTTTCATATGGTGTCCAGTATCTCCTCCTCATTTGTTTGGAACATGACGTTATTTTGAGGAATGGAGATGGACCTTCCTCCACTTCATTTATTTTTACTGAGGAAAAGTGATGGACCTTTTAGATGGCGTATAGTAACTCTACATTTGTAAGGAAAAAGGTTTTTTTTTATTAAGTACACCAATTTAGGTAGGCACACCAGTCATGTTTTTATAGGAAACAATACAGAGTTTTCCTTTTATCTTATAGCTTTAAGATGTTCTATATATGGATGAAACAAACTGTGTGACAAGGCAAGGTTTGCTGAATCTCTTTCAGTCTACTTGCATACTTCACATTTGATGAAGTTAAACAAAAATGTAAAGTGTTGCATTTTGTGTATACAGTACAATACTTACCTGTGCTAATGCCTAGAGAGGATTCCTCCTTTGTAACGGTCACCATCACTTCAGCTTCATTTATGCACAACTGATTTTCTTCCATGTACCTCTCTTGTTCCTGTTTAACCTCAGTTTTCATATGAATCACTTCTTCCTCCTAAAATCACAAAAGGTACACTGAAGAATATAATTGAATACAGTTCAGAGCCAAGTTTGAGTTGGACATGCTCAGTTCCATCTACCTGATGATGGTGAGGGATCTCATGATCTTCCTGTGTGGAATCCCGGGAATACAGAGGACGGGGACATCTCTCTGGTGGGTTCCCATTACTGGATCCGTCTACCTGATGATGGTGAGGGATCTCATGATCTTCCTGTGTGGAATTCCGGGAATACAGAGGACGGGGACATCTCTCTGGTGGGTTCTCATTACTGGATCCATCTACCTGATGATGGTGGGTGGTCTCATGATCTTCCTGTGTTGAATTCCGGAAATACAGAGGATGGGGACATCTCTCTGGTGGGTTCCCATGACTGGATCCGTCTACCTGATGATGGTGAGGGATGGTGTGATCTTCCTGTGTGGAATCCGGGGAATACAGAGAACGGGGACATCTCTCTGGTGGGTTCCCATTACTGGATCCATCTGTAGGAAACAAACACACTGAATCCATTGTTTCTATGTGTTTATCAGAGATGATGGGGATCTAGGTGGACCCTCCGTACTGCTCTCTCCTTTACAATAAAGTCTCCTCTTACCCGGTGATGTGAGGGGCGGCTGATTGTCCATCATGACGTCCTTGTAGAGATCCTTGTGTCGTTCTAAATATCTCCATTCCTCCATCACGCCATCTTCCTCCTGTTCTTTTTTTATCTCTTCTTTGATACTAATATTCAGATTACAAATTTTTCCACTCTGGATGTAAATTTAAAATAAAATGGTAAAAATGCAGATAATGTGCAGAGAATACTGTAACTCTCAGTGACTGTTATCTTTTACCAGATTATAGTGAGGGAACTTGCTTTCTTCCTGTGTGGAATCCGGGGAATACAGAGGACGGGGACATATCTCTGGTGGGTTCCCATTACTGGATTCATCTGCCTGATGATGGTGGTGGATGGTGTGACCTTCCTGTGTGGAATCCCAGGAATACAGAGGACGGAGACATCTCTCTGGGGGGTTCCCATGACTGGATCCATCTGTAGGAAACACACACACTGACTGAATCCATTGTTTCTATGTGTTTATCAGATGATGGGGGATCATTTGTTGGGAACATGACGTTATATTGAGGAATGGAGATGGACCTTCCATATGGTGTCCAGTATTTCCTCATTTGCTGGGAACATGACGTTATATTGAGGAATGGAGATGGACCTTCCATATGGTGTACAGTATCTCCACCTCATTTGTTGGGAACAAGATATTATATGGTGGAATGGAGATGGACCTTTCATGTGGTATACAGTATCTCCTCCTCATTTGTTGGAAACATGACGTTATATTGAGGAATGGAGATGGACCTTCCATATGGTGTCCAGTATCTCCTCCTCATTTGTTGGGAACAAGATATTATATGGTGGAATGGAGATGGACCTTTCATGTGGTGTACAGTATCTCCTCCTCATTTGTTGGGAACATGACGTTATATTGAGGAATGGAGACGGACCTTTCATATGGTGTGCAGTATCTCCTCCTCATTTGTTGGGAACATGACGTTATAGCGAGGAATGGAGATGGACCTTTCATGTGGTGTACAGTATCTCCACCTTGGTTGGGCACTTGGTGTAGTTATATGAATGCTGTTCTTATAGACAATGGGAATTTTTTTCCATTCTGTAGACTGAGGATGTCATATAAGGTGAATAACTGTCCATAGTTGCCAAAATTAAATCTAATGAAAAATGAATATATCCAGGTCAACTTATTAAATAGTTTTTAAAATAAAATTGTCACCCTTATTTTGCTGGTCTACTTTATAGTCACTTTCAGTCAGTTTGCACACCTTAAACCTAATAAAAATGTGAAGTAAAATGAAAATGTGTAGCGCTGCATTCTGTGCATACAATACTTACCTGTGCTGACATCTAGAGAAGATTCGTCCTTGGTAATTTTCATATTCATTTCTGTTTCCTTCATAGACAGCTGGTCATCCCTCATATAAGTCTCTTCTTCTGCTTTAACCTCAATTTTCATATCAATCACTTCTTCTGCCTTAAATCAGAAAATGATTGTGATAATTAATATCCTGAGATTAAATAGATTATAATCTAACATAGTTTAGCATCACGTTTGAGACCGACATCCTCATTTCCACCTAACTGATGATGGTGAGGGATGGTGTGATCTTCCTGCGTGGAATCCCAAGAATACTGAGGACGGGGACATCTCTCTGGTGGGTTCCCATGACTGGATCCATCTACCTTATGATGGTGAGGGATGTTGTGATCTTCCTGTGTGGAATCCAGGGAATACAGAGGATGGGGACATCTCTCTGGTGGGTTCTCATGACTGGATCCATCTACCTGCTGATGGTGGTGGATGGTGTGATCTTCCTGCGTGGAATCCCGTGAATACAGAGGACGGCGACATCTCTCTGGTGGGTTCCCATGACTGGATCCATCTACCTGATGATGGTGGAGGATGGTGTGATCTTCCTGTGTGGAATCCTGGGAATACAGAGGACGGGGACATCTCTCTGGTGGGTTCCCATTACTGGATCCATCCACCTGATGATGGTGAGGGATGGTGTGGTCTTCCTGTGTGGAATCCCGGGAATATAGAGGACGGGTACATCTCTCTGGTGGGTTCCCATTACTGGATCCATCTATAGGAAACACACACACTGACTGAATCCATTGTTTCTATGTGTTTATAAGATGATGGGGGATCTAGGTGGACCCTCCGTACTGCTCTCTCCTTTACAATAAAGTCTCCTCTTACCCGGTGATGTGAGGGATCTAGGTGGTTCTGATTCAGTAGTGGACAATTTAGAAGGCACCCACAAAACAAACTGTTGACACAATGTTGGTTGGTTGCTCAATCCTAGTATATCTCTTGGAAATATATATATATAGAAAACACCAGAACAAGACCCGGGATGTACCAGACCAAAATCTGTCTGAAAATATATTTTGTATTGAATGCTTGTACCTGTCAGGAATGGACTCGCCAATGGTGGTGGGACTCACCTGCCTTGTGGGCTGCAGTACCAAGGCTGGCCAGCGGGTGCTCTCAGCAGCCAGAATCTCACTCCTGCAATCAGGCCATCACCCGAGGCTGATTGCAGGAGGTGTATTTAAGCAGGACCAGGGCTGTGATCAGTGCCTTGGTGTATGTTTCCCATGAGCCCCTGTAGCTGCATCCTGTCTGCTTCCTGCCTGATCCTGCTTTGATCCTGACTCTGAACCTGACTCTGAACGAACCCCGCCTGTCCTGACCTCGGCTATTCCTGACCACTCTTCCGCTCGCTCCTGGTACCCTGTTTTCCCGTTAGCTACCGACCCAGCCCACCTGACTACGTTGTGCTCCATATATATATACATATATATATATATATCAGTTTAGGTTTGGGTTTGTTTCACCTTGTTGTATGTATTTGTGTTAGTTTTGGGTTTGGTTTATTGCACTGCGTTTATGTTTGTGTTGTCCTTAATAAATTATCTTATTTACACGCTATACCTGAAGTCTGTGTTTCCCTGTGTTGGTCCATACACCTCTGGTCATTCCCGGAGCCCTGACATTACACCAAGGCCAGTCCTGACCAGAAGTGGCTGCACAGGGAAGTCATCTTGGTATATTGTTGTGAAGGATGCACACTGAGGATGTTGTGTATTTGTCGCTGCTAGTCCTAGATGACAGAGATTATGCCTATCAGACTCTGCAGGAGTATACCAGGGATCAGCTGCTAGAATGCATACGGATTGCTCATTTCCTAGTAGATCAGGGCATGGAGTTCTGAGGTGCAACCATTGATTCAGGTTTGTGCAGAGTTGGCTTCATCTGGTACCCCTGAAAGCAGGGATGACTTTTTGCCGCCATTTACTACAGACCAAGTAGAGTCACTGGTATGGTTATTGGAGGATGATCCGGATTGCTTCTTGGAGCACTATTCAGCATGTTCACCACAGGTATTAAGGGATTGTATAAACGCAGTGCAGTCTTTGGTCAGACAGGCTATGTGTAAACTGAGTTTTGTTCAACCAATACTACAGTCCTGGTCAGACTTGTTATACACAGCCTCAGTCAGCTTGCAACAAACCCGTCCTGCTTCCAATCATTCCTCTGCTCAAAGCTCTACTCCTGTATTCCCGACAGCACCCCCAGTTACAGCCCAATATACCCTGTTATCTACCACATGTCATTACCCTGTTCCCATTCGCTGCACCTATCCTGCCTTTAACCCTGTAAAAAAGGCCGCTGTAGCAACTATTCCCTCCTCTGTTCCATCCTCCACCTCTTCTCTGTCTCCAGCTACTCCCTCCAATTACAGACCTGCATTTACTTGCAGTGCCCCAGTAACTAAACCCACGAAGAAGCGAAAATTCTTTCCAACCAGTACCATCCTACCAGTATCCAAACCGGTCAGCCTGCCGTCTGTGAATCCGCCTTCCGTTGTTCAGCCTGATGTCCGATGACCCAGTGTACGCTACCCAGCCTGATGACCTGATCCGGCCTGATTACCCGATCTGGCCTGCTGACCCGGTCCGGGCTGATGATCCTACCCGGCCTGATGATCCTATCCAGCGTGATGATCTGGTGCCCACTACCCAGCCTGATGATCCTACCCAGCCTGATGATCCTACCCAGCTTGATGATCTGGTGCCCGCTACCCAGCCTGATGGCCCGATCCGGCCTGATGATCCGATCCGGTCTGATGACCCGATACGGCCTGATGACCCGATCCGGCCTGATGATCTGGTGTACGCTACCCAGCCTGATGATCTGGTGTACGTTACCCAGCCTGATGACCTGACCCAGCCTGATGACCCGACCCAGCTTGATGATCTGGTGCCCGCTACCCAGCCTGATGGCCCAATCCAGCCTGATGACCCGATCCGGCCTGATGACCCGATCCAGCCAGATGACTTGGTGCCCGCTGTTCTGCCAGATGACTCGGTGCCCGCTGTCGTGCCAGATGACTCGGTGCCCGCTGTCGTGCCAGATGACTCGGTGCCCGCTGTCGTGCCAGATGACTCGGTGTCCGCTGTCGAGCTTGGTGACTCGGTGCCCGCTGTTCTGCCAGATGACTCGGTGCCCGCTGTTCTGCCAGATGTCTCGGTGCCCGCTGTCGTGCCAGATGTCTCGTGCCCGCTGTTGTGCCAGATGACTCAGTGCCCGCTGTCGTGCCAGATGACTCGGCGCCCGCTGTCGTGCCAGATAACTCGGCGCCCGCTGTTGTGCCAGATGGCTCGGTGCCCGCTGTCGTGCCAGATGACTTGGCGCCCGCTGTCAAGCTTGGTGACCCGGTGCCTGCTGTCCTGCCAGATGGCTCGGTGCCCGCTGTCGTGCCAGATGACTCGTTGCCCGCTGTCATGCCAGATGACTTGGCGCCCGCTGTCGAGCTTGGTGACCCGGTGCCCGCTGTCCTGCCAGATGACTCGGTGCCTGCTGTCGTGCCAGATGACTCGGTGCCCGCTGTCGAGCTTGGTGACTCGGTGCCCGCTGTTCTGCCAGATGACTCGGTGCCCGCTGTTCTGCCAGATGTCTCGGTGCCCGCTGTCGTGCCAGATGTCTTGGTTCCTGCTTTCGTGCCAGATGACTCGGTACTCGCTGTCGTGCCAGATGACTCGGTGCCCGCTGTCGTGCCAGATGACTCGGCGCCCGCTGTCGAGCTTGGTG